GTTTTAACGGACACACGAGACGCGAACGATGCTTCCGCACACTCTCCGGTTCACCACTTTTTTTCTCTTTCACAAGTCACTATACGGAAACTTTATCGCCGGTCCGAAGCACACTACGACCTCGTGCGTCGTTTTCGCGAGACACGCGTGTTTTCTAAAACTCGCGCGAGCACACAGTGTTTATCTCGATTTTACGCGCGAACCACAGATTATTACCGTGCGCGTGTTTTACCACGCTCGAGTTCCGAGTGGAATCTAACAGTTAGTTTTTTTTCCTCCGAATAGAGAGAGAACACGAGACGCGTCCGACGTACCGTACGTCCGTCGTGTGCTGCGAGAGGACACGAACTAAAGCGGCGGAGCCGAAACGAGCCGAGGTCGCTCGGCTGGTTTCACCGAACCGCTATTCGTCCGTTTCACACTAGCGCCGCCACCGGGGCTGCACCCTTACCCGTCCATTTTCCTTCCGATACTTTCTCGTTCACGTTCCCTACCTCAAATTTTCGTCTCGTTCACGACGATCGGTACTTGGATCGTTCACCTTCCCTCGCCACGATCGTCGATTTCCGATATTCAACGACTTCTCGGCCTCGTTCGCGAAAAGACGTGAACGAATCTACACGGCTTGAGCGGGGTCATTGATTTTTTGAGCCCGTCAAGTGTAAGTCGCGCGCATGCGCACTAGTCTCGGCGGTATGACAGCGGGCGTTCTCATACACATCCGCAATCTTCCGAACTTGAATACACCTTCCTCTCGGTGACTTTGCCGGTTGCAGCTCTATGTACCACGAAATATCGTTCAAATCCGCTCTCAGCTCCCGTTGTCGTCGCTTTCTCTCTCCTTTCGAGAAGTCGCCAGAGTCTCGGCGTCCTCCCGCCACTTCTACGTATGCTACGCGTCTTCTATCCTTGTCCACTGGCACCATTTCAAAATCATCGACTTTCGTGTAATTACCGCTACTTGGACCGAGACAGAGCTTCGATAACGCCGAAGACGTTTTTCCATAAGCAACGGACGACGCTTAGGTATTTACCCGCAAACTTATCCAACGAATTATCCACGCGAACGATCCGCCAATCTTTCGAAAATCAACTACGTACTACCCTTCCTCGTCACGTGACCCTGGCCTCGATGCACGCTGGGTAATTTCTTGTACTTTGAAATCACGTGATCAATTACTACAATACAATCTTATAGGTTTTCCTACAGTTTTTAACCACGTGATCAATTTGCAAGTGCACCGTGGGTAAATTATCGCATCCTTGGCTGTCGCACGTGCTTGTGTTTACGTTGTGATTATTAACCGTTGTTAGCGAGTTAAAAAAGTCCGCGTCTTTGTTCTAAAGTGTGGTATACGAGTTGTGCAAGTCCGCGAATACACAGCACTCGAGTTTCGTGTGTTTTTTATCGAAGCCTCGCTCGTAAAACGTAGCAAATTGTGCGGTAAATCGGCCCTATCGGATAACTCGAATCGCGATAATACGAAATGCGCGTTAATACGTACCATTTTCGCGATCGGTCATAATCGATGCGTCAGTCGGTGCGACAGAAGATTAAAGTGAATCGAGGAATACCGTACACAGAGGAAGTATTACCAGGGCAATCGTTATCGTCGTCGATCGAGCAAACACTTTTATCTCATCGATTACCAGTCTTCCCGGTACTAGCGACAGTCCGAGGTTCGTTCGACGCGCGATTCTACGGCATAATCCCCCCCCGGGTAAGCTCCGTCACTTTTTTCCACCGTGATACTTCCTTCCCCTGTGTAATGTAGATGTAGACGTGTAGCACCAACTACTACCTGCCGTCAAGTCACATCGATAATTTTATTGTCTTCGCCGGGAGCGGCTGATGCAATTACATTAGCGGTAAGAAATTAATTCAAGTAAGTGACGTTAATGAGCGTCTGCGGGTACGGAGACAAGAAGTACGCTCCTTGATAATCGCCACGAGCGTAAATGATACGAATTATCCGTAGTCGATAGAAGGATCCGGGAAGGGAAAAAGAGGGGGAGGATGGTTAAGAGCGTAAGGCAAAATCGAGCGGAAAATGGGTGGGATTGTTCGCGAAGGAACTTTCGTTGGTTGGATCGCAAAGGCAGGAACTATCTATCGGGCTCCTTGGAAGCCACCAGTGACGAGGTAATCGGTCCACTGATCAAGATCTCTCTCCCCCTTTCTCTGTCGCGGCGGTAGAGAGCACAGACGGACGGCCATTTCCGCATCACATCACACCGCCCGCATTTAGGAGCACCACAATTTTCTATTTTCTCGTCGGTCTACATTGGTGGCCCGTGAAGACCTGCAAGGTCAGCCCCACCAACACGCCTTCTCCACACTTTTTATTCCTATTCTCTTCCTCTCTCCGTCCCTCTCGTGCACCAGACAACTGTTACCCCTTTCCTATACACGAGCGAGCATCCGCAAAAACGTCTTATTAAAGCGGGTGTGTCGTCCTGCGAAATTTCCGCGATTAGGCAGCAGCAGCAGCAGCAGCAGCAGCACGGCGTGCAACGTTCGTTTTTCTTCAATCTGTGATACAGAGGAGAGGCAGCGGCAATCTGGCCTCGTTCCTCTGGCCAACGATCTCGCCTAATCGAGAAATAATTGTACGAATTTGTCCGAGGGCTGCTGGCGAACGGGACAGAAAAGAAATCCTTGCATTCTCGTTCGGCCGGTGCTGCTGCTGCCTCGACGAGCTGTTTTTTACCAATTCATACTCTCAGGTGGAACAATGGATTCGGCGAGACAAAGGAGGCGGCTGCTCTTGCCCAGGGTGTACCCGGTACCGTTTCTCGCGCTAACAAAGTTAGCCGTTCGTTAGCGGAATTAGAAATGAACGTTCAGCGTGAAAAGAAAATTTCGTCGGCGTTGTCTCGGGCCACGGAGACTTTATTAGAAACCCTCTTCTTCCCCCTCTCTCTGCCGTGTTTGCTCCTTTCACCGCGTTAGCATTACACGTGTAATTTCTCATTTGGCCAATGGCTCCGTTCTGTTGTGAATTATTTCATTATTTTGTCACACCTCGGAATTTTGTCCATGGATTCGGAATTAAAAAGATTAACTGGCAAACGTTCGAAATCGAGGATCCCCATTCCTAACGCGGTGTTCCTTCTCGAAGAACGAGAATGCCGCGAGTTCCACGGTGTCTATCATCCGAGACGATTCTTCGATCGACATGTTCTGTTAATAAAGTGGATCCACGCGACCACGGAAGAGGATTTCTGCGTGAATAGCTTCATAACCACCGGTCATAAGCTTTATATAACGTCCCTCCCGCCCTGTCATTTATTTCGCCATAGAGGAATTTATCGCGTCGGGGTGAATTGCTCTTCGAAACGAGGACAACCTCTCGTTCGATCTAGTTACGGGCAGAGGGAAGTCTTATTTTTTTTCCTTTTCAATCTTTAATTAAGCCCGAACGAGACTGGAAGATCGTTTGCTCTCTTTTATTGCGCGATCCGGTCGAGTCGGTGCCGGCAATTTTCAGGCAAAAGGCGACTCTCATCTCTCTCAGTTTCTCAGAAATTCCCACCAGTCATCGGCCAGAGGAATTCCATCGAATTTCTCCGAGCGGACGCGCGGTGATTAATAAGTTTTTACGCGCATTACACCTGGCCGCGTGACAAATCGATTTCCGTCGGTGTACTACCTTTATGATTGTCTTGCACCAATTCATTTCCGTTCTCTTCACTCCAAGTTACGCCGCGGGAAAGAAATTTCTATTCTATTCTAAATTTCAATTTCTACCTACTGGTATAGACGAGGTGTAGACGATGGTGATGTCGTGGAGTGGGAGGACGCAGCGAGGAATAAAAAAGAAGGGGACACGTTAAACGTGGAACCAGGGGTCATAAAAATCCGAAGCGCAGGTATAAACCAACGATCTACAAGTCCGTGTGCGAGGACGATCCTAATCTCTTGGACGCTGGTGGAATAGCGGGAGTCGAAGCTCCGAAGAGAGACGGGACTGCCGCGGCGCGAGTTTGTTAGAAAATCAGCGGAATGCAGGCGCACCAAGCTTCAAAATCGAGGAACACGGTTCGTCCAGGAATATTCAGGACAACGCGGTGTTCTTTTTTTCTCAACAGCTTCCAGAGCTACTTGCGACATTTTTATTCTTCCCTAATTTTACCCTGTCTCTCTTCGATAAAGCAAACTGTTCTCGCCATTTTTTGGTATCGTGAACGTAGCTCCAGGGTGTCTCTCCTCTCCTCCTTGATTCATGCTTCACGCCGACATTTTTATTTGGTCACCGCGCTGTCGAAAGATATATTCGTCGCGGGGAAGTGACAGTAAAAACAGGCTGAAAACGTTGATCCGTCATACGTGTCTTAGGCGGTAATTAATAGAGGAGGGTTTTTCGGTATAGCTTGTTCGGCTCGGCCATAAATTGTCCGGAAGGTCGGCAAAGTGAACGACGCATAAATTTCAGGTGGACGCGAGAAAGGCGCGCGCGCGATTTTGTGTACGATTTCGCGAATCGAAACGGCGGGGAGGCAAGTTCGAGCCTAATGGTTTCGTAATTGAATAAATGTGGCCGATTAGTCGCGCTGCCTCCGAGAAGACCGTTAACGAGCTACCGTCTAAATAACACACACCGTTCCACGGGCATACTCGAGAATCGAATTTAGAGTTAATCGGTATTTAATTTAAATATCCTCGCTAACAGACTTATCTTCCTCATCAGTCGCGCGACGATCCGATCTATCCTCGCCGACACTCGCGGCGATTTTACAAGATCACCCAAAAGGTCACCGACTTCTTCCACAAGTGTCTCGGCGAAACACTCACTCACACTCTCTGTACACTACGTATCGAACAAGAGTTTTATTGCTTCCATCTTTCCTCTCTTTTCTTCCATCCTTTTCCCCCATTTTCTCCTTTCGAACAAACCACAGTTTACATAACCCGAAAGGATGAGAGGAATAGTCGTTTCGGTGAAAACAATGGACAAACGACGCGGCAGAGCGTACACGTGTACGACGCTACCGTAGCCTTATTTCTTCTTGAATCTAGCCTTCTTCGACACCACCACGGCGTTCGACGGCGACTTCGGGTTCGACTGATTCTTGTGTTTTTTGCTCTCGACGTGCTGAGCAAACGTACTCTCGGAGTTTAACGACAGATTACACGGTGCGCAATAATACTGGCCTGCAAATAACAGACGGGAGGGTTTCGTCAGTTTGTTACAGATCGCAACGTTGGCTCGAAAGGTGCTCCTACCTGATGGCGTTCGGTAAATAGAATAATCTATAGGTCCAGGTGTAGCTGGTGTCGCCTCGCTCTCTGCCGCTGTAAAGAAAAGAAGAAAATGACGAATCTTGTTTGTCGACAGAAGAAGACCGAAGCTCACCAGGTTCAGGAACAGGCAAGCCGTTCAACCTGAGCATTCTCAGGTGTCTGGCACCTCGCTTGTGCGTTTCTAATTGGTCCTGCCGATTAGCCGATACTCCACACAAATCGCAACGCAACGGCGTCGGATATGGTGGTGGTGTGTAGATGGAGCCTGTTCCCGGTGCCGGTACCACCGCGTTGGTACCCTCAGGTACTACCGGCTGTGCCGGTGTCGATTGCACTTCCGGCTGAAAAGCCATTCCTATCCCGAATCGTCCGGTGGGATCTATTTGACTGTACTGATTTTGATTTTGCGACTTCTTCGACGGCCTGTAGAATTCAACGCTCTGGTATGACGATCTTGGCTGACACAGCTATATCATTCTAAGAATAATTAGAGACAAGCATTATATATACACATATCTCTGTATATACCTCGCACGACGTCCCCCGTTCGCCGCTCTAATATGTTTTTTACCAGCGTAGTGTTGCGTCGCGTCCGTTTGCGACGTGAACCACGTTTTACAAATCTGCAATCGTTAAATTGGAC